CACAAGGCCGTCCTTGTTATGACCGACCCTCTTGTGCCCACCACAAATGATGGAACACACAAAGACACAGTTTCCCCGAGGCCCGAGCAGAGTAGTTAGGCCAATGGTCATTCATCTGAGACAACGCTTGAACCTCAGCCAGCTCCGGCAAAAGTGTGATGCACAATTTCAGCCGCGCTCGGTCTTGTAATTCTTGGATTCAAAGATTAAAACTGGCGCAAAAAAGATCATGTAATCCAAAATCAAAGAGTGCAGGGATTCAGAGTGTTATATAAGGAAATTGGAACCCTCTCGCAAAACAAAGACAAGCCCCTGCAGTAATGTGGGTTGTCACAAAAGTGCACATGATTGCAGGAGAGATGCACAGCTCTGATGTAGAACGAAAGGAAAAAGGATGAGAATTGCAGATAAAGAGGAATTTGAGGACAGAAAAAGATTGGAGATCTGAGAGGGCACTGTTAGAGTGAGGGGATAATTAGAGAAAAGGGAGAGACAAAGCAATCAAAACACACACTTACACATTCAAGGCCCACACACAAACACAAACACACACACACACACACACACACACACACACACACACACACAGAACACGTGTAAGCTGCAGGAAAAATACTGCTCTATGGGATCAGTGTGGTTTATTGTTGAATGGAAGAATGGGATTCAGAAACACATAATTCCTTCTTATTTCTCTATATTTATCAGCATTACAATCTGCACTTTTTTATCTGGTAAACCTGTTTGGATTGGGTGAATTGTGTGTAGATTAGACATTAGTTGAAAACAATATTTGTGTTTCTAATATCCTGTCGGCTTATGTTTGTAAAAGGGATTGGCAGTAGTGAAACTTCAATACCCTGCAGTGTAGAACTACTGCAAACTCGAGAAATGGTTTAAATAACAACTCTTGACAGGGTAAGCATTATTTTCTTAGTCGATGTGTTGGGTGTATACAGTTCATTCAGGTGTTCTTAAAGATGTAGTCAGTAGCTTTTTTTCCAAAGCTGCCAAAATAAATTATGAAAACAAAGACAGGGTTTAGACAGGTTAATAAACCATACCAGTCGAAGAAAATTATTCTTTAAACTGTGATCAATGTTTTAAGTTCAACTTACGTTTTGTTTAAACATTCGTGATCGTCTGACTGCTTGTTTTCTTGCAGCGAGAACATTCAGTGTATAAAAAACGATGCCAAAACGAAGTACAGAAAGAATGCTGTTCCTCAAATGTCCACTTGAGGTTGGCTGCAAAAGCCAAAGAAACTCCTTAAGGACCCATATTAAAAATGCCAATTTTAACAGCAGATAAAAACAAGTTAACAGCTTGGTTAAAAAAAACTAATTCACTTGCCTTGTCTTTACTGGTACACACTGTAGCCGTAGCTGTTTTTATGAGTTATCCATTATGATCTTTGTGTGCCTAAGAATTATTCATAAACTTGCATAATTAAATGCATGATTGATTAGTTGATGACATGCAGGCTTGTTTTAGCGCTTTGCCTAGAGACTTAAGACCCGCGTCATCTTCACCTCTTTGCCTGTTGTTAGAATTATTCTATAGTTTCTTGTCAATCTTAAGCACCACCCCCATATTACTGCAGATGTCGGTCATTAAATCAGTAAGTGGTAAATGGACTTGAGCTTGTAAAGTGCTTTTCTAGCCTTCTGACTACTCAAAGTGTTTTTACACCGCAGGTCACACCTACACATTAACACACTGATGGCAGAGGCTGCTATGTAAAGTGACCATCAGAAACTGCCGCCGAAGCAGCGAGAGCAATTGGGGTTAAGTGTCTTGCCCAAGGACACATCAGACATGTGGCTGCAGGAGCTGGGGATGAACTAACCAACCTTCCGGTTGAGAGACGACCGACTCTACCACTGAGCCACAGCCGCCCCCAGTGTATGCAATGTTATAAGAACTTTTAGATATGGTTGATTAAAAAACAAAACAAGACCCAAGTAACAGGTAAATCTTATAAATCTGACCCAACATTTCTCTGTGAATACATTTAAGCAGGTCGGGCTGTAAAAACCTTCTGCCACTATTTAAAATAGATCCTAATGCCTCGAGGCTTTGGCGAGACAACTTTTCAAACACTGCTGTTAAGATGTCCAATTTGCACAACCCAGCTATTTTGCAGGCATCTTTGAATGACAAGCAATCCAGCAACACCTTTGTCTTCACCTATTCCTCAACACAGAGAGAGAGAGAGAAAGAGGGCATGCCCAGATCCGGTAACTGTTTATCGAACGCCCTGAGAGTCCTGTGGCGGCTGCTGCCTTCAAGGTAAGCATGGGGAGTGTGAGAAAGCAGTCGATGAGTCTGCACCCCAACATGTAATTACTCATGAGATGACAACGCCTTTACACAGAAGGGAGGGTGAAAAAAAAAATCAATCATCGTTGAATTACTATCACTGAGTGCTCTGCAAATTACCTGTGCAGAAGAGAAAAAGAAATTACCACACATTCGTTCCCCCCCCCCCCTCCGACCTCAACTCCTCTCCAAGACAATGGCAGGCGGACAGAAAAGAGAATGAACCTCGAAGGTATCACTTGGAAGGAATCCAACTCTGAAAAGACCTGATTTTCATCTGTTGCGCATTGTTTAAACTGAGACGTAAACCTGACAAGTATTTAGCAGGGATTTCTAAATGGAGGCCTTCTTTGGATCATAGATATTAACCAACATACTGATAGAAGGCTGAGAAAACAAACACTGACCTCTCATGGAGAAGTCAATTCAAGATGATTATCATGTTGAAAGACTGGCCATTAAAAATGGAAAAGGCTGGAATTCAGTTTAATAATCAATAGGGATTCAAAGAACCGTTACAAAAAGCATGTCTGAGCCACGTCACGGTTGCGTTTGTCTGATTATATCAATTTCGTCAATTGGTGCACATGAGTGTGAATGTGAACGTGAGGGAGAAGTCGTTTTCATGCCGTGCTGTGAGCAGCTTTGGAGTCTCTCAGTATTTTCCAGTTGCAAATGTGGCTGAAATGCAGTTATGAAACCCGTCTAACTTTATCTTTTCAAAGAAAAAGCGAAAGACAGCCGACGGCAAAAGAAAGCCAGAGACAGAAGAGATTAGCATCACCTGCGCTGGCATTGAACCAAACCAAAACAGCGTGCCAGGTCACGCCAGGAGAGGCTGCTGCCCTGTCCTCGGTGAAGGCATGCGACTCGGAGCACGCTGTAGGGCTGCTGAGACATAGGGCTGAGAAGTGAAAGAGATCAACTCTTATTTGTATGCTTCTTACCAATGGGTAGCATCAGCATTTTTTCATTCCAGCATTGGAAAGAAGCTATTCTAGCAAGCGACGACGGTTCTTTTTCCCAACATGTCTCCGTTCACATCAGCGTCACATCCGGTAATGTAACACTATTTAATCTTCAACATCGTCTTATTTGTTTTACATCTGTTTCTGTCCTATTATGTCTTCTGCTTTGGCACAATTTCACCTTAGAGAACAATAAAGTTTCAAATAATCTTTTGTTATTCCAACCTCTCCTTTCCTCAACAGCCACTTTGCACCTGTGTTGCTTCCCTGTGCGTCTGCTCTCTTCGGTAAGTGAAAAGAGAAGAGTGAGTAAGAGGGAACAAGGAAACAAAGGTGTCCTCTCCTAAGCTGGCTGCCGTAAAGACACAGATATCAAAGAGCAGGAGAGCCAACCTAATTTAATTGACTGTTATGTAGAAGCGGGAGAAGATTTTTTTCCCTTCCTTCCTTCCTTCCTTTCTACCTCTCTCACCTTTTCACTCGCTCTCTCACCTAGCTAGCTGAGTGAGCGGCACATTTCGCTGCCAAATGAAGGGAGCGCCTGAGCCTCCAAATGGAGCGAGCTCTGTTTGATGACCCTATTTGTATTCTGCTGCTGTGCTGCTTCTGCTGACCTGGGAATGAGAGATACAGGCAGGCTGCAGCTTTATCTGGCCAGCAGGCCACCCCTGCTTTCTGCCTCCATCCTCTCCTTACCTGCCCAACAACCAAAAGCCTCTTGGAGCGTTCAAATCCCCTTTCCTGAAATCAGCTGGCCAGATGTTGCACGGTAAATGCCTCTTGTTAAACAAAGGGTTCAAGCTTGGTGTGCTGCTATCCTGTGGAGTCAGGTGTGAGGGCAAGAAAGTAGAGTTTTTCGGAGAAAGTGTCTGCCACAGGGGGAAAAGTGTGCCCAAGCAAACACAATGGAAGCCTCTAGCTGCTCTTCCAACATACAGCTAGTGAGCAAACTCTTGCAGATGGAGTCTGAATAACTGCTGAGACACACAATGAGTGAGGTCAAAGTGCAAAAAGGGAAGAGATTCTTTTTTTGCGGGTGGCAGTTTGGATTTCTCCCTGCACAATGAGTAATGTCAAAGTCATTTTTCACACCTTTTTGTCATTTTCCGAAGGTTTTAATCATTCATTTATTTCTAGAATGATTCAGTCATGTGATTTGTACATCGTGCTTTAATCTTATCAAGGCTATAATAAAGAGAGATATTGATTTCAGTTTCTGCTAAAACAGCTGAATTTTCGTACACTGTTGAAAAATAGGTCGCTGTAGACCACAGGACATGATTCACTGTTTGTCAACCAATCAGACTCTTTTCCAAGACTTTTCCTTGTCAAATTGATTGGAAACATTCATGATGTCAGCACCATTTTTGACAGTGGAAATAGGTTGTCCCAGTGTCTCAACACTGGGACAGAAACAGGATTTTTTTTTTTTTTAACTAGCCATGTATTGAGTAGCCTGTTGGCTGATGCACAAACCATTTCAGGACATCTTCAACTGGGGAAAAACTTTTGATGTTTTTGCTCGTACACTTGGTATCTTAGAAATCTGGTATTCTGAGATAAGATAATAAACATAAAACATTTTCTGTATGAGCTTTTGTATTATGGGTGGCGCCCTTCACTCAGGTGGTGTCCAGTGGTTTATAATTAGTCCGTAGTTTTACTCTATATCTTGCAGGCATTAACCAGACAAAGACATAAAAGGGGCGGTACCTGTTGGAAAGTGTTCATTGACTGGCCAGTTGTCCACCTGCAAAGTGGCGTTGCCCCCGTTCCTGGTGAACCGGACCAAATGGTATTTGCCGTCGTTCACTGCCGTGGTCAACTCTTTCACGCTGATGTCCACTGTGCCAATGTTAAATGTCACACCCACTTTTCCTTGTTCCTGTAAAACACACAAATAAAAGAGAAGCAGAATGAGTAAGTGGTCAGATTGAAGCATCGCATCAATCCAAATATTTACAGTAAATACAGTTGTTTTCCATCCTGGTCATCAAATGCAGTTAGCTTGACTTCTCAAGTTTTGCAAAAAGAGGTTCTGCCTATTGTTGTGTACTGATTAATTAACTATACATAAACTAACTGTAAAAAATTCAATAAAGCTTGGATGAATAACCTCGGCTAGTGCTAATGGTGAACTGCACAGAGAACCTGAGGACGCTAGACTCGCTACGCTTCATTATACCACTGTAATGTGATGAAAACAGGCTGCCAGCGGAGATTGTAATGATGAGTAATGCTCCCTGCAGCCTGTCACTGCAAAAACTGGCAGGCCAGATGCCTTTTATCTGCAGTGGTCCTTACAAACTGGATGAATACCATATGTTTTGTTTAGCTATTAATGCTAAATCAGTTTTACTGTGACTATAAATCGTGATCCCACCCAATCATTCCCTGACTCGTCTCCCCTTGAACCCCACTAATTTTCATGAGCTGCCTGTGTGTTTTATTGTGACTGTTTGCGTATTCATGGGCATGTAGGCGTTACAGGCAAACGGGTTTTTAGCGCAGAGGCAGGGCTTGAGTGAGTGGCAATGAGGAAGGGCTGTGTTGTCTGTGTCATTTGTTTTAATCCCCCGCAGGGAATCTCTCAGTGTAATTACCTACTTTAGAAGCCACGAGCGGAGGGACCGTTTCTCATAACAAAACCAAAATTAAGAAGGCATGCACATGGGGGCAGACACATATTGTTAACTGATCATCAGAGACACTGGCCCGGGCTAACAGTTACAATGCAGAGCTTGATAATGTCAAGTCGGATTTAACAGTGCTCGTCGGCAGGAGTGCGCTCCATGACTGGCACAACTCAAATAAACCTGCAGATTAATGTTATGGGCTCTTTATTCCATATCTGAGCACTTAATAAGGCCAACCTATTCTTTACTTACTCCCCCGTGCTTTTACATAGAATTTCACACTTGCTCTACTATACCACCAGATTTTTATGGAAACCTGCAGAGTACAGTTATAAATGTAGCTTGACATTTCATGGGAGCTGACAGGCCATTAGACTTAGTTTAGGAACACATTTTGCCGATCGCTTTACATTGAATTTTGCTATATTTTCAAAAAGAAGACAAATTGGAACTGGTTTACATTTAAGAGGTAGAAGTGTAGCTGTATGTGTATTCGTCCCAGACATTAACGGTTCAGTGAATGCAATCATACGACGAATATGAGCACATGGCAGTATCCAAACCCCAACCATGGTGGGGGTAATGCTTGTAACTGTAACTTGTAACAACAAATGTAGAAGAAGAAGGAGATGCAACGAAAGAAAAGAAGAAGAACAGTTACATAGCAAGATGACAGCTGAGCGAAAAGACCAGGCTGCTTCTTTAAATCAGTCGTGTGTGAGAAATGTTAGGTAGGCAGTATGGTATGTTACTATAAGTGACTATTAGACGGTATCACCCAGATGTGCCAATCACCGGCTAGGCAAAGGATAAAAGGTGTGAAAGCAAAGAGGGTCAATGACATTAATGAAGCTGAAACATTTTTCAGGTTCTTCATGTATATGCAGTAGTAGAGGACACCAGTATCAAGTAAAGTGCTCGAGCCTTGATGATGTCCCATCACAGAGCATAGATGCACCCACTGTAACAACAGTAAGATGGACTTCCCCTGCCTCTTAAAGCTCGCTCTTGGGGACCGCACCCTTCATCATCTTGGAGTGACCGTTATGCATTAAAACCTCCAAGACTCACAAGTTAATCACAATCATAATACACTTGATATTGCTCTGAAATGCACATATTCGATGTGGTCTTATATTTGGCATCCATATAAGGAGATGTTGTGTTTATCTGTGTTTCTTTTATTTAGAATCATTTTGTTTTTTTCCCACCTCTCCTTTTTGTTAAACGCTTCATACACTACAGGCTGCGCTGGCTATCACAAGTAGCTCTAAATGACACGAGATGGAACAAACTGTAACTTAGGAGAAACCTAGATATTTTGTGTTTAGGACTTTTTTGTTGCATGACCCCAAAACCGAGGTACGAACCAAGCCGTGACCTCTACCTACTTTTACACCCAAATATGAACTTAGAAATCAAGAGTGCGGCTTAATGTCTGCTCTTTAAGTACAGCACCAGGTACACCTAGGAGGAGAGCAGACATTTATTTTTAATTGGAGGTAAAAAACATTTTTTTTTATGCATTTTTGTGCATTATTTGCACTTATGATTATCATAAGATAATCTCCCTGTTACTTTAAACTTTAAAGTTGTTCAGGTGTGCAGTGAAATGCCTTTGTGTGCATGGAGACCCTTACAGAGACACTGCACACTCTGGTTACCTCAACAAGTCCTTTTATCTGCCAAGCCAGTCTGAGGACCTGCACTGTACTTGATGACTTGTACTTGGAGTCAAAACATCCTTTGTCTTTTCACAGAAGAAGCCTTACAGTCTGCTCGAGACCATAATGCGAGCAACGACGGAGTGGCTGTCCTCTGTAACAATCTCTCGCTCGACTAATAATGGAAAAAGAATGTCACCGAAAGACATGAGAAAGCCATCTCCTAAAAGCCAAGGTAGGGCTCAGAGTGGGAGCTAGACAAGCAGAATATCTGAATGTGCACTTACCATCCCCGTCAGAGAGGCTGTAAATGGGTTCTTAATTTAACTAGTTGTCATTAAAACTTAGAGCAGCGGACATATGCATACAATAAAAGTGTGTGTGCACAAATGTACGGCTTGCATGCAAATACACATCATCTGTGCACCTAGATGGGCTCAAGTAAGCATGCACATGGATATGTTGATAATTTAATGTGACAAGATGATGTTCAGTGTGTGTGTGTTGTACCGTAAAAAATACTACCAAAGCTTCCTGGCTCTCCTGACTAATGATAGGACCTTTCCCTCGTACAAAAAAAGCACACACTATTTCTGACGGCCCGAGCGTACACAAAGCATAGACAGACACATCAGCACAAGTACATCCACAGTGACCTTCAGAGGCTGTGGCAGCCCCAGCTCTCTTGTGTAGTCGCATCAAAGCCACATCACCGACCCACTAATACCTACAAACAAAGACAGATCGTCACCCCCTGGCCCTGGTACAAACAAACAACAAAACACAACAATTGTACAACCCTGTAACGGTTGCTGAGTGCCTCCGGGCAGTGTGCAGAGAGGGAAACGTGTGTGTGTGTGTGTGGTAGTTCCTCGCAATGCCACAGCTCTCCCCCTTCTTCTCTTTCCTGTCTATTTTCTCTCTGCACTACTCCTGTTGTCCGGCTCTGCCACCCACCTGCCAGCACAACCCCCCGCGCTGCAGCAATGTGTGATTGACAGATCCAATTACGTTTTTTATTGGCCTGTCGCTCGCGAGGCGGGAAGGCACTTCATTGTCTCCTGAGCAAAGGGGAAAAATGGCTATTGTTCTTTTAGTGGAAAAGATGATGGCCACAATTCCAGGCGTAAACAAATGATGCGCGGAGAATCACTTCCACTCTTTTACGCACACAACAGGCACTGAAACACACACACACACAAAGTCAAAGGGTTGTAACCTTGTGCTATAGAATCTTTGTTTCAGTAAGCTCCACAGGGTGAAAAATGAAGTGCAGCATCCCAACATTCAATCACTGTCAAAGCAAACACTCTGAATGTGACATTAAAGTATGGAAAGTGCTAATCAACTGGTATGATATGCTAAAGCTCTTTTATAGCCTAACATGCACCCACACTCTATTTAATGCCAATCACCAACGCTGGCTGTGTCACCGCTATAGGAATAGAATGAGATTATGTTGGCGTTTTGTTGTGTGTCACATACGTGAACAGTGTGTGTGGGCATGTTGTGTTCACTTCCTCTGTGTAACAAAGACTGATAAATGTAATTCCACAGAGAACCACCAATCCCCCCCCACCTCCCTGCCTCCTTGGTTGCGCACTGGCCCGGTCTTGGCACGAGGAGCTCCAGCAGTCCCACGTGACCCGGCAAACACTGACATCAGTAATCAGGCCCGCCGCAATCCAATTCAGCGCCGATCAATGCCTCCAACACAAGCAGAGCCGCGGACAGATTGAAAGAGAGAGAATCACTCAAAGCAGCAGAGGGCGATCCTGCAGACAGCTATCACAGACAGCTGCTGTACAGGGGATGGGCCGCCGACAATAGACGCCATCCCAAACTGGCTGAATGGTCATTCTGCAGCGCCAGCTGAGAGGTATTTTATGGAGTTGAGATGGGTAGAATTAGAACATGAAGTTCTAATGGGGGAGCAAGAAGATAACAGAAGATTGAAGATGTGGTGATTTGATAGATTTTGTCTAGAAAGATAAAAGTTTAAAGTAGGGGTTGGATTTACAGGTTAACTCTAATACGATGCCGTCTGATCCAATATAATACGATACTTGATATGTCGATAATATCATGATGCAACGTCTCTGAGATATGTGACATATTGCAAGACAATCTTGTAATGATACATCATGATATCTGATTCTGTTTTTATTCACCGCAGTTTGTTGTCAGTTCCAGTTCTTGTCATTATCGCCTGACTGATCAGGATTTTTAGAGCCGATATCGATATTGGGGAGAAAAAAATTCCGATACCGATATTTCGGCCGATGTCTTTCTTAGATCTATGAAATCTGTAGCTATAGATACAGATTTACACATTTATTTCACTGATCACTTAAATGCAGTTATCAAACACTTAAAAGATATATAACGAAGACAAGATGGTCACTCAACTGGAAAGTCACCGCACATCACCGCTTGACTCTCTGGAGAGTGATAATGCTTGTTGTAATCAATATAGCACACTTGCTATTGCTAGTGTAATACAGTGAAATTCTAAATAAATGCTGTTTGACTAGTGAATAAATTTAGTAACATGAACTAGCTGAAACCGATAGTCACTGGATAAG